GTTTGGACGTCTCATCCTCATGTCATTTGAGGAAGAAAAGACCAACCGTGTGGCTCTGGATGCTCTCTACGCCCTCCTCAATTTCATCTGTCAGCAGAAACGTAAGAGAAGCTGTGGTGGGCTGCATCCCCCTGCACAGTGACACCCCCTGATAGATCTGCTGGAGAAGGGACCGTAAAACTACCTGGGAAGTGCCTGGTGCAGGTGCCACCATGTCCCCAGCACTGCTGTCATCTCTATTCCTTCCCCACATTCTCTGTCCCAGGTTCCTGATGGTCCTGTGCAGCTAAGCTGCTCATCCACACAGGACTCAGCCCCATTCCGCCCATTCCCCATGTCCCCTGGAGAGCTTGTGTCCTTCCCTGCCACACTCCAGCCCCACCTCCTGCTACAACCAACTCCTCCCCAGCCATTCCTAGTTCCCCAACTCTGTCAGGATGTGCTGGTTTTCAGGTTTTTTTTTTTCTTCTGTTGAGATCAAGATTGAAGGTACTTGAGATGATTGTTCATGTTTAGACTCATTTAAGACTTGTGTTTAACTTATCAATGTTACAGTCTCAAAGGCAGTGACTTCTGTATTCTTTCATTGACAAGGCAAAAAATGGCTATCTCTTGTTACAAGGTCTTTTAAGGCTAAACAATCTAATTAAGAAATGACACCTAAATTATTTTCACTTTTAAGCTAGTAATGAATCACTCGAAGTCCACAATGCGGACTTTTCTGTCCACTTACAAAATCCTACTCAAACTTATGAAGGAGAAGGAAGAAGGTAAAGAAGAACAACCTGTCTCCGCCCTAAAACTTCTATCTTGCCCTATAGATATTTCTATATTCTAAAACTCTTAAGTTTTCTAGTCTGTGATATTACACACTTCTAATTAACAACACACCCATAATCCCAGTGCTATCAATTAATTTTGGAAGTCTTTTTCATGGCCTCAGGTCAGATGTAGTGCTCTCCTGGGGGTCAGAGTCTGTTAGCACAGAAAGTCTAAAATTCTTGGATCCAGAACTCCAGCAAGGATGTGGTTGGCTTGCTGGCACAGCAGCTGTGTCTCACTGATGTGTCCAAGTTTCCCCACTCCTCAGGTGTGACACTGCCAGAGGAAAATGCACAGCTCCAAGCACACTGGGAAGCTGGGACCACCTCCTCGCTTCATTCTCCCAGTGCCAAGGACTTCATCGAGGTACCGAGAGCTCCCCTTGCTGGGACTCTTGTCCACAGCATTTGTGTAAGCAAAGGGGCCCAGAATCAGCAGGGTTCCTTTCCTTCCTGCCACAGGCTGTTGGAAAATACCTGGGACCTTCTGAGCGGACATGCATCATCCTCTCCACCATTACGACGTTCCAGTACTCATCTACCTACAATCATCAGGTGGCTCTCAGCATGCTGGAGGTGATTGGGAGCGACCCTGACTGCTGGCTGACAGATGTAAGTGGCCTGTGTCTGGATTGCCCTGCCGTATTGGCTTTCTGCCTCCCTCCATCCCTCCCAAATCCAGATGTCTTGGGCACCTGAAGCCGCCCTGAGGCAGCAGAGAGGGATGGGAAAGGCAGCTTGGCTCCAGCGGCAGCACCATCCTCACCTGTGTCCCTCCAGGTGCCAAACGTCGTGAGCCACATCTACCACAGTGGGTTGGTCATGGACAGCCAAGTCCAGCACAGCCTCCACTCCCTGCTTCTCTTGGTGGCTGACAGGAGTCCTGGGCAGGTGGTCACAACACTGCTGCAGATCGCTCCACGAGGAGATAGGTACTGGTCCCAAAAGCCCCTGTGGGGAGAGGGACCCTGAGACCCTCTGGCTGGCAAACCCAAGAACACTGCAGGGCCCCACTAAGGAGCCAGGCCCTCCATCCCACCACGCTTTCCAGCCTTGGTGGGGGTCATTCAGACCTGCAACAGCCAAAGCTGGCTGGGCCTGCCAGAGCCAGCCCCGAGCCAGCACGCTGCTCCTCAGGCATCTCCTGCCTGCCTGGGCAGGATCCCCAGGCACCCCACGTCCTGCAGCACTGGCCCAGGCCCTGCTGACAGTGCTCTGCCTTGCAGGAATGCCCTCAGTTTGTGGGAGGTGATGTTCTCCGTGCCCCAGGTGGTAGAGAAGGTCTTGAAGGAGCTTCATGTCCAACTCCAGGACCTGAAGAATGGCATTTTCCAGCACTCTGATGAAAACGATTGCCTCACTTACATGGCTGTGAGTGAGCAGGAAAAGCTGTGGTGCCCTTGTCCTCAGCTTGGGGGGAAGCAGAAGCTGTGCCAGAGGAGCCCTTCTGGCTTTGCCAGGGGCAAAGTTGCTCAGTGCAGGCTTTCTTTCAGCTGCTGGCCTCTGAAGATGTGCAAGAGGAGGAATTCGCTCCATTGTACAAAACCTGCAGGTTTCTGCTGTATTCAAGCAACAGCAGAGACAGAGAGGTGATCTCCCTGCTGCTCAGGGCCCTCATCACACTGTCCCAGAGACGTGACAAGGTGAGCAGGGTGGTGTCGGGGGCACACACGGGGAAGCCAGGCTTTGAACCCTGGGCTGGGAGTCAGGACAAGGGGTCACTGCTGCAAACACCCTCCCTGACTGGCAGGGCCTGCTCACAGAATGGAAACTGTCTTTCCTGCAGGCCAGAAAAATGAAGGCCCTGCTGCCAGACCTGATGAACCTGTTGCGGCAAAACTGCATGTCTCTGGCCATGAAGGCCCTGATGGTCCTCCAGAACATGATGAAGTGCTTGAAGAGGACCGAGGCCAGTGCCATTGCTGCGGATGTGGCGAAGGTACTCCGGCACCACTTGGATGAGGTGAGGCCAGTGTGAGCCCGAGCCCTGAGAGGGGCACTGGGCTGTGACAGCAGCGCTCGGGGCAGGCTCTGCTCCCCTGGGCTCTCCCGGCAAGTCCCACATCTCTCATTCGGGCTCTTACTACACCCCTCATTATGGGTGGGAGCTGCTGTTTCCCAAGCTCACCTCTCCTTGTTCCTTCCAGGAGGAAAGCTGGGTGCGGGAGAGCTGCATAAGCTGCTTCAGAGACCTGGTGAGGACAGTGGTGGGGAAGGAGAAGAAGTGGATGAAGAACTACGTGCACACTGTCCTGGCCCCGCTCATCCTTCGCATGAACGACGAGGCCCCCAAAGTGGGCCAGGTACTGATGTCAAGGCTGAGCAGTGACACAGAGAGGGGTGGCTGACACTCCCTGGGACCTCAGGGCACTGGGCAGACCCCCCCCCCCACAGACCCTGGGAAGAGGGTCACAGAGAAGGGTGGCTGACACTCCCTGGGGCTCCGGGGCACTGGGCAGCACTCCCCCAGCACAGACCCTGGGAAGGGTCCCTGCAGAATCAGTGCAGCAGAGCTGGACAAGCTGGCACAGCCATTCCCAACCCCTGCCCTGCCTCCTCCAGCAGAGCTCAGCCCCAGCCCAGGACCACCAAGGTGTGGTATGTGTGGTATGTGGTCCCCAAAGGTGTTGGAGAGCAGGGATTTGAGCCTCTATCCCTGCACCTAGGGGCCATTCCCAGATGCTTTGGCAGGGGCATGTCCCAGCTCCCTAAAGGCAGGGAGTCACCTTTCCCAGGCCCTGGAGCCATGTCCCAGCTTCTGCTGTTCCACAGGCCTCCAGGAATGCCCTCCTTGCCATCGCAGAGCTCCTCAAGTGGAAGGAGATGAAGCATGTGGTGAAGGCACGGCAGACCTGGAAGATGGCTGACTGCTTGGTGAGGATGCACCCCAGGGACTGTGCCAGGCCATGGGCTCTGCAGCTGGGCCTAGGGAAGAGACCCCACAGCCTGGAGCTGCATCCTTGCTCCTGGCTCAAGAACAGGGCCCCAAGGGCTCTTCTCCAGGCCCATCTCCCCTTTCCTGCACCCAGTGGGAAGGGAACAGGGCTCTTGGTAATGGAGGTGCTGGCAGGAGGGGCTGCTCCAGCCACCTGGAGGGTATGTGACAATGCTCACACCTTTATGGTCTCTCCAGATGAAAAAGGACAGCAGCAGGGCTGAGCAGTACCTTCTTCAGAGCCTGCAATACCTGAAGGACCCTCAGGAATGCGTGCGAGACTGGACTATCAGGTTCATTGGTAAGCCCCAGCCCAGGGTCCCACTTTGGGCAGCTCCTGTGTCCCCCAGCCCTTGCCCAGTGCCACATCCAGGCTACTGGTGGTTCCTGGCTACTGGGAGCATGCTGGGGAACAGCAGGGACTGACAGAGCTCTGTGCCCAGGAACCATCATGCGGCACGTCAAGGACCAAAGCCAGGAGGTGCCTGCTCTGATTGTCAGAGGTGAGCGGGGAGCGAGGGCTGGGAGAGTGGGGGGTCTCTGCAAACACAGGAACTCAGCTCGGCTCTCTTTTGGTCACAGAACTTCAGGCCTTGGAGAAAGATGGGTGTGAATTCATCTGTTGCCTGGCAGCTCAGACCAGCTTGATCCTGAGGAGGCTGAGGGAGCAGCAATCACCACCAGCAGAGTCCCGATGCGCTCTGTGGCGCTGGCACCGCTGAGCTGGGGGCCTGTTGTGTCCAGAGTGGGACATTCAGGCAAGACTGATCAGGGGCACCCTCCCACTGGACTCCTGACTTCCTAAAGTCTTTCTCAGAGGAGGCTCTGGCTGTGGCTGGATCCAGGCTTGGTCATCACTTTGTGTCTGAAGGGTCACACAGGCATCGTTGAGCCCGGACATCACTTTGTTCTAAGGATTAGGGTTGGCAAACCAACTATATTTGTAAATACTTTATTTGTAAATAAAGTTAGTTTTGAGTTTAAATAATAGCTTGTCAATTTCCTTTTAAGACAAGGTGACCCATCTGGTTCATCAAGGAAAGCCAGTAAAGAATCCCAAAAGACTGGGATTCCAGCAAAGATTTCCAGACTGTCTCTGCCAGGATCCTTCAGGACAAACTGTCCAGCCCCAGCTGGATAAACATGCCATGTGATGGGTGACAATGGGCACAAGGGCTGGGCACAAAGGTGACAGTGACTGGGGTGGCATCAGGCTGGCACTGGTCACTAGTGGTGTTCTGCAGGGCTCCATCCTCAGCCCTGTGCTCCCCAACATCTCCATAAATGGCTTGGACACAGGACTGGAAGGGAGTCTGGACTGGACCCAAATATGGGGGTCTGCAGCCCTCCAGCAGGATCTGGGGTCTCAGCTCTCCAAAATAGGTCTGGACCCCCCCACACCTGGAGTTTGGGCCCCTCAAAGTGGGGTTTGGGATTCTCCAGCTGGGTGTGGGACCCTTGAAATGAGATCTGGGACCCCTAAACTGGGTCTGAGCCCTTTAAACTCTTGTCCCAACTATGGGCTCATTCCCCAGGTGCAAATTCCCACAGCAAGGCAAAGGATTTTTATTTTTCATTCCAGTTAACTCAGGGAGGAGATGGGAGTTCCTTGCAAAAGGCCCATCGCAGACTGACCAGCAGAACTGACACTGGTTTGGAGTAGGGGGTCAACAGGTCAGTGGTCCTGCTTTTGCTGGTTATAAAGTGGCTGGTTTTGCATCGAGTGCAAAACTTGAGGGTTTTGAGGGTGGCACCCTGAAAAAACTGGAGGGACATGGGGGAGTGAGATAGGGGTTTATTTAGGGGTACAAAGAGAAAAGGGGGAAGGGGACACCTCAGGATGGAATTTTGGGTCCACCTTAGAGGGGGGAGGTGAGCGGGAGGACCCCAGGATGGAGATTTGGGATCCCCAGGGTGGGCTTTGTGGGGTCTCAGGGGAGATTTGGGGGTCCCAGGGTAGGTTTCAGAGGGGCCCACGGTGGGTTTTTGGGGTCCCAGAGTTGATTTAGGGGGTTCCAAGATAGATTTTGGGGTCCAAAATAGATTTTGTGGGTCCCAAGATGGATTTTGGAGCCCCAGAATGTGGGGAGGCCTCAGGCATTGGGGCTCCTGGCAGATGGGAGGACTCAGTGCCAGATTTTACAGTCCCCTCAGCAGGGGGACCTTTGGGGTTTGAGGATTCCCAGGGTGGATTTTGGAGTTTCACAGTGAGTTTCACTCTCCCTGGGATTGATTTGGGCATCTCAGGCTGGGTTTTGGGGTCCTGGAGTAGGTTTTTGTAGGTCCCAGGTTGGATTTTGGGGGTTCCAGGGTGGGTTTTCAGGGTCCTGGGATGGATTTTAGGGTTCCAGCACGCGCAGTGCAAAGTCCAGGGCGGGGGCACTGTGGGTCAGACACCCCATGGACACCACGTCGATGTGGGGCCCCAAGAACTGGGGGAGGGTCTCCAAAACGATGCCCCCGCTGGCCTCCACCATCACCCTGGGGTGTGCAGCCTTGACCTGCGCCGCCGCCGCGTGCAGCTCCTGGGGGAGACACCCCGTGAGCAGGGAGCATGCCCTCCCCAAAATTTGGGGGCACACTGGACATAAGGATGTACAATGCATCTGGGTTGTGCAGAATTCTCGCCCAGAATGGGGGTCTCACTACCCAAATATGTCCAGTTTGAGTTCCCCCCCACAAGAAACCACCAATTCAGGGATTACTCCACCCACGGAGCTCCAAAATGGGGGTGTTCAACCCCAAATCCTCCAAATCAAGGGTTATCCCCCTTAACCAGAAACCCAATAAAAATTGCGGTTTACTGCCCAACTGGGGGCCCCACCCACCAGTGACCTCCAGAACAACCCTAAATTTGGGCTTTCCAACCCACTGACCACCCAAATTGGGGTCCCTCCACACAGAAACCCCCAAAATTGTGGCCCCCTACCCAACCCCTCCAATCCAGGCATTTGCCCACCCACTGAGCCCCAAATTGTGGTCCCCCCACCTAAACTCCCCAAGTCAAGGGTGTCTCTACCCAGAAACCCCCCAAACTGGGATTACCCAACTCTCTGACCCCCCAAAATTAGTATCGTCCCTTGTATCTTTGGGGTTGCCCCACATTTACAGCAGATTCCCATTTTACTGGTGCAACTTCATCCCTGGGTGTCCCCCATTTTTGCCGCTCCCCTTGATTTTGGGGGCTCATCTGGGGAGAGCAGAATCTGGATCTATGTGGTTACCCCCCACTTTTTGAGGCCTTCAACCCATTTCACTGGTCTGCCTCCCATTTTAAAGGGTCCAGACCCCCATTTTTGGGGTCCAGCTTCACACCTGGGAGTCATCCTCCCATTCTTGGGGGTCCCTGCCAGATTTTTGGAACTCACCTGGTGGGGGCAGAGGTCAAATCTATGGCACTACCACCCCACTTTTTGGGAGATCTGTGCCCCATTTTTGGGGTTTATTCCAATTTTGAAAGTCCAACCCCCCTTTTCTGGGGTCCCACGATTATTGGGCCCCCTCTGATTTTGTGGCTCACCTGTGGGGCCAGGTTGTCCAGCATGATGATGTCAGCCCCAGCCCCCGCAGCCGCCAGTGCCTCCTCCGCACTCGAGCACTCAACCTCCAACCGGCGGGTGAAGCCCCCGGCCCGGCGCACCCCCAAAATCATCTGGGGAAGAGGAGGGTCAGGGGGAACCCCAGATCGACGCCCAATCCCTCAGACCAATATGGGGTGGGGCAAAACGGGGGATCCCCCCAGGGTTTGACTCAAAATTGGGGTCCCCACATCACCCTCCCACACTGATCCCCACAAAATGGGGTCCTCTACCCAGAGCCCCCCAATTCAAGGGTGTCCCCTGATCCCAAAATTGGGGTGGCTCACCTACAAACACCCAAATTTAGAGCTACCCAACACATGATCCCCCACAGTTCAGGGGTTACCTCCAACTTCCCTCCCAAACTGGGACCCACCCCCTGCCACAATCCAGGGGTCCTCCCGCATCAGCCCGTGCCCAGAATACCCCAATCCAGGAGTTTGTCCCAAAATTGGTACCCCCTTCAAGTACTGGTGCTTCCCCACCACCCTTGAAATTTGGGGTACCCCAAACCATCACTCCTCACAAAATTGAGCCCCCTTCACCTAAACCTCCCATTTCCTCCAAACCTCATGTTCCCCCCATCCCACACCTCCAAAATTGGGGTTGTCATGCCTACCCCCACCAATCTCCCCCCCAAACTGAGGTCCTGAGCCCCCAATCTCCGGGTTTCCCCGCCTATCACCCCACAATCCAGGGGTCCTGCCGCCAAATTCTGGAGAGAATTTTAAGGGAGATATTTGGGTCTAGAGATGATCTGGGTGTTGTTGAGGTGCTGAAGAGGAAATCTGGGTTGGTCTTTGTGGAGCATGGGGGATACGGGGGTCCTTGGGGGAATTTTGAGGGGATGCAGGGGGGTTTGAGGGTCCCAGGAGGGTCCTTGAGGGGATATTGAGGTCCAGGGAGAATTTTAAGGGAGATATTTGGGTCTAGAGATGATCTGGGTGTTGTTGAGGTGCTGAAGAGGAAATCTGGGTTGGTCTTTGTGGAGCATGGGGGATACGGGGGTCCTTGGGGGAATTTTGAGGGGATGCAGGGGGGTTTGAGGGTCCCAGGAGGGTCCTTGAGGGGATATTGAGGTCCAGGGAGAATTTTAAGGGAGATATTTGGGTCTAGAGATGATCTGGGTGTTGTTGAGGTGCTGAAGAGGAAATCTGGGTTGGTCTTTGTGGAGCATGGGGGATACGGGGGTCCTTGGGGGAATTTTGAGGGGATGCAGGGGGGTTTGAGGGTCCCAGGAGGGTCCTTGAGGGGATATTGAGGTCCAGGGAGAATTTTAAGGGAGATATTTGGGTCTAGAGATGATCTGGGTGTTGTTGAGGTGCTGAAGAGGAAATCTGGGTTGGTCTTTGTGGAGCATGGGGGATACGGGGGTCCTTGGGGGAATTTTGAGGGGATGCAGGGGGGTTTGAGGGTCCCAGGAGGGTCCTTGAGGGGATATTGAGGTCCAGGGAGAATTTTAAGGGAGATATTTGGGTCTAGAGATGATCTGGGTGTTGTTGAGGTGCTGAAGAGGAAATCTGGGTTGGTCTTTGTGGAGCATGGGGGATACGGGGGTCCTTGGGGGAATTTTGAGGGGATGCAGGGGGGTTTGAGGGTCCCAGGAGGGTCCTTGAGGGGATATTGAGGTCCAGGGAGAATTTTAAGGGAGATATTTGGGTCTAGAGATGATCTGGGTGTTGTTGAGGTGCTGAAGAGGAAATCTGGGTTGGTCTTTGTGGAGCATGGGGGATACGGGGGTCCTTGGGGGAATTTTGAGGGGATGCAGGGGGGTTTGAGGGTCCCAGGAGGGTCCTTGAGGGGATATTGAGGTCCAGGGAGAATTTTAAGGGAGATATTTGGGTCTAGAGATGATCTGGGTGTTGTTGAGGTGCTGAAGAGGAAATTTGGGTGGGTCTTGAGGGGGCTTGGGGGATATCGGGATCTTTGGGGGAATTTTGGGAGGGGGCCTGGTGGCTCCTTAGCAGGATTTTTGTGGGGTCTTCAGGGCTTTTGAGGGTCTCAGGAGGATCCGTGAGGAGACATCGGGGTCTTGGGGAGGGGTTGATTGCGTCGTTTGGGAGGTTATTGGGTCCTGGGAAGGGGATTTTGGACGGGTCCTGGGGAGAGGTTGGGGGTCCTAGGAGGATCCTGGAGGGGATATTGGGGTCCTAAGAGGATTTTGGAGAAGATTTTTGGGTGCAGGGGGGATTTTGGGGTTTATTGGGGTCCCGGGGTGGATTTGGGAGTCCAGGAAGGAGATCAGAAGTGGGTCCCGCCCCCCCATGGGCACTCCAAATGTGGGTCCCATCCCACAAGTGTGGGTCCCTCTCCCCCCTCTCCCCCCAGCTCAGGGGGTCCAAAGTCCGGTCCGGGATGGCCACATCACCCGCCCCTCCCCCTCCCCTTCCCGGGACTCCCAGGCGGGGGAGGGGCGCCCCACTGACCTGTCGGGAGTCGGAGGCGACTGGACCCGAATTGGGGGTCGGGGGGGTTCTTACCTGGGGGGGCGTGGCCCGCCTCTCCCCAACGCCCGACCCCGGGCTGTGATTGGCTGCCCCGGGGGCCCCCACCCCCCCCCCCCC